CCGGGTTATTATCGGTAAGTTTGGTAATGTCTATTTACCCTGTAAACTAACCCAAACTAATCGGGTTATTATCGGTAAGTTTGGGTAAGTTTGCAATTTTAATCAGACATTACCAAACTTACGGATAATAACCCGGTTAATTTGGGTTAGTTTGCAATTTTACTCAGACATTAGAGAATTATGGCACCTTCAAATAGCAACAGTCACTAATATAAACGTTCTTATTTTGACATTATTGACATCTACGCATGCGTATTTGTTACTAAAAATAGTGACAGTCAGTAATAAAATAAGGATCATCCTTATTTGTGATTGGATAGTGAAAGGCAGTATTTATTCCACATGCGCAAATCTAAATCAAATGTCAGTTGTCCAAGAATTTATCAGATTCCAACTTCACATAATTTGTTTATATTTTTTGTTTTTAAGTTCAAATAGAAAAAGACTAGGCTTAAAGACCAAGAAAAATAAGAAATCATTATCACTTGCTGAAAAACTAGAAACCGTTAAAAATAAATCCGATTTAAATTTGAGCGAATTATTCTCAGAGTTAGATCTTACATCATCTAGTACTAGCAAATCTAGTGATAATAAGAAGTTAAATTTTGATTCTAACAATACTCCTTCTTCAGAGGAAGAAGTACTTCTTCAGAGGAAGAAGAGCATCTTAAATTCTTTTCTAATAATAGGTCAATTAATTCAGATAAAATGGACGTTCTGCGGTCCTTTGCAACAATTTTACCTACCTTTTCTGGAAATCCAGAACACTTAGAATCGTTTAATTTGTCAATTGACGAATTTCATAGTCTATATTATAATGGCGAAGATATTCAGAGAAAATTTGTTCTCAGTGTTATTCGCTCTAAATTAGTTGAAAAGTCTAGAGATTTTATTATGAGTAGGCCAGACCTTAAAACCTGTGCCGATATCAAAGAAGCTCTAAGAGAAAAATATGGAGATTCGATAGGATACCAAACATTGATGCAACAATTAAATTATATCAATAAAAATAAGCGCGAAGAACTATTAAATTTTGTGCAAAAATTAAAATTATTTGTGCAGAGAATAAATTCTAACATAGATAATAATTCAAAATTAATTTTAACAGCACAAGCCGAAAAAACTGCAGTACCTAGTTGTTTTAATGTCAAATGTTCCAGAATCTTTGAAAACGATTTTACTTATACACAACCCTGACTTTAGATTTTGCTTTTGTACAAGTCACAAATTATAATCTCATTGAGTCGCAAATATACTTGAAAAATCAAGTCACCCAAAAACCTTTCAATCAACAGCAAAAATCTATGAGTTATAATCAATCATTTAATCAGAATTCGCAGTCATTCAACCAAAATGCTCAGCAATTTAAACAGCAAAATAATTCAAAGCAAAATTTTCCTTCTCAACCCGTTCACGTACAACCAAGACCAGTAAAACAATATTTTCCCACAAACGCCCAAGTTTTTGGAAAACCTAAAAATGCATTTGCTTCGCAAAAGAATACGAATCAAAGGCTTCCGCCAAACCTTTCCCCAATATCCGGCCAGTCAGCAGGAACTTCTCGAATAAATCAAAAACCACAAAATAAGCAGCAATATATTAATTATTTCCAACCTACCGGTCCTAGGAATTTTGTATCGCAAGAATTAACTAACCTTCAAACAAATCATGAAAAGTCAGAGGACCAAAACTCTGAAGAATATTACGACGATTATTACTATGACCAAAACATACCCAATGTACAAGTAGAGGACACTTTTTTCAATGCCCAGCAGGAGACTTTCACCGCAGAAGACCAAAATTTTCACGAAGGGGCCTCTACCGACCCATTAACGTAAACAATATTGCTCAAAAAATCGAGTTACTTTATTTCTTCCTACCAAAAATGCAAGTTACAATTTTGATTGATTCAGGAGCCTTCGAATCAATAATTCATCCCAATATAGCTAACTTATACCCTGATTTATTATTCTACGAGCCTTTTGAAGTAATTGCATGCAAAAAGACCTATCGTGAAAACACCAATATTGACATTCCACTTTTGCAAGAAATAGGTATTAATTTACCCCTAAAAATGCGTGTTCTTAATTGGCACAACGACTTCGATGCCCTTTTAGAAACAAAAGATCTTAAAATCCTAAATGCCGTTCTAGATTATGAAAATAAGTGTTTAACACTTCAACGGAATAAGAAAGTAGCATTTTCACTTGCTTACAATAAACCCCTCTCTAAACCAACTGAAAACTTGAATAGCAATGCACTAATTATTCCAGTAAATCTCGAAAGTGGAGACGCTATATTACCTTCCTTTTAGATAAATAATCCAGTTGTCATTCCTGATAGTCTAATTACAGTTAAAAACGGACTTTGTAAAATTCCGAATCTACTTTCCAGACATAACATAAAATTTGATCACAGAATGAGAGTTATCCCAAAAGATCACTTTGAAATAACTAACCCTCCGACAGACAACACCCCATTTGAAATTTCTAAGCAGTTACGTTTAAATCATTTAAACGATTTAGAAAAAAGCAGAATAATACCTTTGTGTCATGAGTTCAAAGACATTATGTATTCCGAGAATTGGGACTTATCTTTTACTATCCAAACCAATCTTTTCGCCATCCCCCTGCCATGCTGCCCGAAATTCAGTCAAATTCAAAAACTTTTGGACAATAAAATTATTCAGCCATATATATCTCCTTATTCTGCCCCTGTTTGGATTGTCCCAAAAAAGGCTGACGCTTCTGGGAAACAAAAATTTAGACTAGTCATTGATTACAGAAAATTCAATGAAGCCACTATCGAAAATAAATACCCCTTGCCAAGAATAGAAGAAATTCTGGATAACCTTGGAAAATGTACTTATTTTATCACTCTCGACCTGGCTCAAGGTTTCCACCAAATTGAAATAAGCCCTGATTCCATAGAAAAAACCGCGTTCACAGTTAACAATGGTCATTTCGAATACCTAAGGATGCCCTTTGGTTTGAAGAATGCTCCACATTCCAGAGAATGATGGACGAAATTTTGAGAGAGTATCTATACAAATTTTGCTTTGAATATATGGATGACGTCGTAATTTTTTCTAAGTTCCTTCCTGAACATATCGATCATATTAAAAAGATCTTCAAAACACTCCGAGAAGTCAATCTCAAAGTACGGCTGGATAAATCCGAATTTCTATCCAAAGAAGTAGCTTTTCTAGGTCACATAATCACCCCTGAAGGCATAAAACCAAATCCTTCTAAAATAGAAGCCATCCAGAGATATCCAATACCCAAATCCACCAAAGAAATCAAATCGTTCTTAGGCCTCGTTGGTTATTACAGAAGATTTATCAAAAACTTCGCCAAAACAACTTTCCCAATAACGAAGTGTCTAAGAAAGGGTCACGAAAAACATAATGGCAACCAAAAATACCAAGAAGCCTTCCTGAAGTGTAAGGAATTAATTACCAACTCCCCTGTACTCCAATACCCTGATTTTACCAAACCTTTTAAACTAACTACCGACGCCTCCAACATAGCCCTCGGCAGTGTACTTTCTCAAAACGAACATCCTATTGCATATTATTCAAGAACCTTAAATTCCGCTGAAGGAAACTACTCAACCATCGAAAAGGAACTTTTGGCAATAGTCGATTCTACAAAACACTTCCGCCCCTACTTATATGGCCAAAAATTCGTGGTTGAAACCGATCACGACCCCCTTTTCTGGTTATCAAAAGTGAAGGAACCAAATTTACGCCCTATTCGTTGGAAATTGAAATTGGAAGAATTCAATTTTGAGATTAAATATAAAAAAGGCAAAGAAAATGTGGTGGCCGATGCCCTATCACGTATCGACATAAATATTTTCGAAAAAAATTTGTCAATAGCCCCCAACACTGATAACACTGTAGCAAACCTCGCCGACTTCGATCTTGCCGACTTTGCTCTAAACGAAAGATATAATGAAATCATATCCGAAACCGTAATCCTACTTCAACCTAGAGACGATGAGCTAGATTCAAACGCCACAGTACATTCCAATAACGAAACTGAAGGAAAATATCTCCCTATTTCCGAACTACCCGTAAATTACGCGTCCACGCGTTTGATTATAGATTTCGGAGATAAATTCCCGCATAAATTCACAAAACCATTCAAAAAGAATCATCATCTTATTCGAATCGAAAAAGACAAACTCCCAAATCGTTTCAATAAAATCCTGTATGAAATAATTCGACCCGATGTAAATTCTGTCTTATACATACCTAATTCTGATTTAAAACGAGAATTGCAAAAATATGTTGCCGAAAATCTAAATGCTTCTGCCAAACTTCAAATCTCAAATATTTATTTGACAGATATTGAAAATCAAGAACAACAAAAAGATATTGTATCGGAGTACCACCAGAAGAATCATAACGGCATAAGAGAAACCTATAACCAACTAAAACAAAAATACTATTGGCCCCAAATGCGCGAAACCATAACTACTTTAATTAATACTTGCGAAATCTGCTGACAAAACAAGTATGAAAGGCACCCGTAGAAAATAAATTACGAATGTCCATTGTTAGCAGAAAAACCATTCAATACTCTACACCTTGATATATTTCAATGTTCATGATATATTATGTGATATATTTTTTTCTTCTTTAGTTAAAAAACAAACAACTAGATACGACCATTTGTGAGAATAAAATGTATCTGAATGTTGAGATACGCCTTTATGATTAATGATAAAATATATCAATTATGATAGAAAAATAAGGCAACCCCTTCGAAATCAACATTTTTTATTGGAAATACCTAAACTAAAATACGAATAATGCTTAAATAAATTTCACATAGAGAAAAACAGATTAATGGAAAATTGGAGGCATCTTTATGCAAATTTTAAGGCTAATTATTATTAATTTATTAGCAAAAACACGAACAAAATTGAAACCTATAACCTATAAATAGGCACAAAATGAAAAACTTATAATCATTGAATTGCCTATTATTCTTTTAATGTGGTAGTGATCGATAAAACTTTTTATGTTCTTCGAGACGGATGACAGGAGTTTCTCCCACACACATAGACTGTAAATCTGAATACTTTTCTTCAGACATTTTATTCGGTTGGGTATTCAAACGATTTGGAACAACTTTTCTGAGTTCAGATGTGCCAAGACGTTTCAAAGATAAAACCTTGAAATCATTCGAGAGATGGCTAGTCTTGAAGAAAATCTGTTGTGGGTGATTTTTTAAAACTTTCAACTCCATAATTTCAGTCCATTTCACTGGATCTCCAGTTTCAGTTTTCCTCACTGTAAGAACTCTCAACTCTTTCGCCAGTGTCTTGAAATCCAAGAAGTCGTTGTATTGTAAGAGGCAAACGTTATATGGATGTTTTCTTCTGGCTAGTTTAAATACTGGATACAGCTGGGATGGAATGAAGAGATTGCCAGAATGCTTAATTGCGTAAGAAATACAACTATGGACAGAATCTCCTTCATTCTGTCCATGGGAGGTTTCGAAGAATTTTAATGAAATTTCATCGAGGTTTGTACTATGTAAAACTGTGTATAACAACATTGTGGCCATTATATTGTTTTTATTCTGGCCGCTACAACCATCTGAATATAACGACGCCACTTTTATTCCTTTTGAGTCATAAAATTGCAAGGCATTGTAGACGCAGGTAGCAATCTCTGAAGAACCTCTTTTACTTTCGGCCTCACTCCAAGTGTAGCAAAAGCAGTCCTTGTTGGATATGTCATAAAAAGTACTACACGGTAGGTAAATTACCTGCTGCAGATCAAACGAAGCACATATTAATTTATTATCTTCGTCGGCTTTCTCTTTCAGCTGTCTAGCAGCATTTTTCTCTGCAGTGTGTTTATTAAATTTTTCTTCTAATTTTGCCTTCACACTGGAATCACCTGTCTTATACATAACACATAACGAGCACTGATCTTTTTTGGGATTGTGAAACGATAGGTTCTTCGACTTGAATACTCTCTGGTAAGTAGACAAACTTGGTTTAGGACAATTTTCGGGCAATGACTGGAAATGTAAAAAGTACATTTTCGAAACTGAAAGATCTGGGTGCAAATATTCTCTACTTGAACTGGCCCTACAATAATGGGACTCCATTCTGGGGAATCTGTCAATATGTTTTTCTATATCATAGCGAATTTGTATGTCTCTTGCCATAATGGCCTCAGATTTTCGCCCTCCTCTTTTGTCTAAATCTACCAAACCAAGAGTACTTGTCTTTTCCAATGCAGTCCTCACTACGCGGTCGGAAATATCCAACGTGTTTATAAAGAAAGTTTTGCAGACTGGAATGCGGACATTGTTTATTGTAAAAAAATAACGAACTGTGTTTTGTCTTCGTGACACTTCACTTTTTGATGTCTTTTGCTTGGTATCCCTGACGTCAGTGTGATATATAATAAATTCGCGTTGACGATTAATGTCTCCTACTGCATAGTAACTATTAAATATCTGACATCTTTGAGAATCTTCTATTGTTGAGCAAAGGCGTCCTAGTTTTTTACAAGTGTCTCCCTTGCATCTCAACCTCATACTCCTAGATTTAACAGTTTTTCCTTTAAGAGATATATACTTTTGGCCTAAATTTCTAAGGCGCTTTGCAAGCTTTTGTTTATTAAACTTTTTCTTTTTTTTTCACTTGATTCTCCTTCCTTTCCACTTCCTTCCACTTGATGCTGTTCAGGCTGTAAATCTTTATTCACACTGACTATTTTTTTTATTTTCTTTTCTACTATACGTCTTGAATGGTATTCACAATTTGGGTTATCATCGATAAAGTGATCGTAGCACAAAAGAATCAAACAACGATGACACGAGCTCCATACTTCTCCCCTGCATTGGTAATATTCGCAGGTGGCTGTGTATGGAGGATCGGCATCCGAATCGTAAACAGGCTCCTCACACATTTCACTCTCATTGTCAGGTTCCTCAGTAACTGCTATTTTTTGATTACTTGAAAATTCGCTGATCATTTTAGCCTTAATTTGGGCTAGAGGTACGTTATCTGAAGAATCCGATAAGGACTGGACATCTAGCGTGTTCACTTCTTTAGTAGGTACGAGTACATCATCTGAATCATGTTCATCATAGATATTAATGTCGCCATCCATTGAGATGACTTTGCCACTGCACCACTTTTTTTCGTAAAACATTTTTATTTGAGTTCCTTTTTTCAATGTACCACGAAACATAAGGTCACTCGATGACACAACAATTTTTGTACCATCCTGCCATAGTACAAGCACATCCATCATAGAAAGGTATTACTTTAACACCAACGTAAAAAAATAGTATATTATATACTTAGTTAGAGAAGAAGTTTGAAATCTGTGCTCAAATTATTTTTTCAAAATGCCTCGTCGAAAGTGCTGCCATCTATCAACAGCTTATTGTAATTTCGTATGACAATATCCTTGCGTCATGACGTCATTTTCATTGTTAACTTATTAACCCAGTTTTTTTTTTCATTATTTTAATTGGGTAGAGAAATTCAGTTTTTCCTTAGAAAAATAGATTAAATAATGACTAGTAAAATAGTATATTATATATCTAGGTAGAGAGGTTGGTCATTATATACTATAATGACTATAATGACTTTCTCTACCGAGGAATAAGTATATAGAATTTTTTTTACTACTGCTAGTGGAAAATGGAAAATTTGTTTAAAATCTGTGCTCTAATTATTTTTTTTGAACGCCCTCTTGAAAGTGGTGTCCTCTATCAACAGCTTATGATAACTTCCTATATAGGTACCTACAGAAACCTGTATTTTTTTTAATTTGACGTATGCAATTGAAATTGAACCAATAGAAACATGACAATATCCTTGCCTCATGACGTCATTTTCATTATTAACCTAGGTATTTTTTCATTATTTTCATTATTCACCTAGGGAGAGAAATTCAATTTTTTCCTAGAAAAATAGATTGGAATAATGACTATTTCTCAGGTTAGTAGTAAAAAAAAACTTTTTACTGCAGCACTCTACGTTTATATTAATACAAGTTCTCACTTGTCAAATTGAGATACGTCGGCGACATGCAAAAATTTATTTAAAAAATAAATCTCACAAATCGACCTAACTCGAGTTAGGTCATCTCACAAATCGACCTAACTCGAGTTAGGTCAGTTTGTAAGATTTATAAAATTAACTAGTATGAGATTCGTCGCTGACCAGAAGGGCAGTTACGCGAAAAGTATACCAGATAGAGAAATTACATTTTGTGGGATGAAAAAGCTTTTTTTTTTATTGATAACCTATTTCACTTATTTAAAGTACTCCTCAGCGTGTTTAAATCCAACATTCAAAAACGCGCGTGTTTTAAAGTTACCAGTGACAACATCAACAACCAACAACCCGAGAAAGGTCTAAACGTCAACTTTTTAATTATTGATTTGTCAGGAGTAGGTTAGGTACTTGTAGATAACGTCAAATAAAATGTAACAAGTGTCAAGCACAAATTCAGCATTCTACAATTATTAGTAATTTATGATTTGAACGTATACCAATAAAAAAAAATAGTTTTTCTACTGACGTTTCATAATACGCCTAAAATCTGTTTCATAATGAGCTTCATTATGATACAGATTTTCATTACGATACAGATTTTTCAGCCACTGGAATCGAGTATTTTCAGCATGAACAATGTTTATATAAAAATAACAGACTTGCTTTGGAATTTTGGATTGTCTCTATTAGTATTTACCAGAAGAAACAACAAAAAATTAATAAATCGGGAGCGGAATTTATGCCCAAATGACGTCTAGATCTTAATTTTTGAAATTGTCAAGTTGTCAACAATTGTCACCAGTTGAGTAGTTTACTATTCTTATAAAATAAATATGTTTTTCGTTTATTATTGCAAGTAGAAAATAGTATTTTATATACCTAGGTAGAGAAGTTGGTCATTATATACCGAGCGCTTTTATTAACCGAGGCGCAAAGCGCCAATTTTTTTTACTACTGCTAGTAGAAAATAAAAAATTTGCTTAAAATCTGTGCTCTAATTATTTTTTTTTGAACGCCCTTTTGAAAGTGCTGCCCTCTATCAACAGCTTATGATAACTTCCTATGTACCTACAGAAACCTGTATTTTGCTTTAAATTGACGCATGAAATTGAAATTGAACCAATAGAAACATGACAATATCCTTGCGTCATGACGTCATTTTCATTATTGACCTAGGGACTTTTTCATTATTTTCATTATTCACCTAGGGAGAGAAATTCAATTTTTTCCTAGAAAAATAGATTGAATAATGACTATTTCTCAGGTAAGTAGTAAAAAAAATAGTTTATGCAACTCTCATGTAATGGCCATTAATACACGAGCATGTTGTAGGATACGAAACGAGCCGCAGGCGAGTTTCGTATATAACATACATGATCATTGCATAATATACTATTAAAGTATTCGTGGATAACTGGTCTTTAAAACACTTGCTCTATTTCGAGCACTCGGCTGCACCGTCGTGCTCGAAAAATCGCGCGTGTTTTAAAGACCTTAATATCCACTTATACTTTAATATACTAATATGGGGTAAAAGTTTCTGATCCTATTTCAAATTATGTTTTTTTTGAGATACGTCACTTAGTGAAATTAACGACGAGGCGTTTCCGATTGGTAGATTCAGTGCGAACTGAGTGTATTTGCATCCTTTTAATCGATCTGTAGAAGAAGAAGAGAGAAATATAAAAAATTGCACTAGTTCCGCACTAGATCTACCAATCGGAAACGCCAATAGATTCTTTCACTAAATACGCCCAAGCTTACTACGTTTCTGACAAAAATGCCACCACAATAATTAACAAACTCAGGCATTACCCAAGAATCGTAAACTCTACAGGATTGCTCAATCGGCTAAATTTGTTCACAATTGCTGTGACGTCACGTGCATCCCTGATTTTCAAGATGGCCGCTGATACGAATGATGTTCAGTTTGTGCTGACAATTATTTTATCGTAAATTCGGATTTATCAAGTGTTATAAGTGTAATTTAAAGTTTCATTTAATGTGTGTAAGCATAAAAGACTCGTGGCTGAAAATACTCGCGAAACCCCAAGCATTTTCTGGTTTTAGTGGCAGGACATAGCTTCCTTTTATTCGTGCGTGTATTGCTTAGTTTTCTACTGTTAGTATTTTCTAGTCAAGTATTCGTATTGCTTTTTTTCGTAAATCAAATAACTACTTAGCTGTAAGTTTCCTTTGCATGTAATTACTAACAATTTGTTTGTGAAGAGTGAATAAATAAATATGTAAATAAATTTCTTTTTCTCCTAACGTCAGAAAAACATCACTTTGTTAACCCCTGTCAAGATGTCAGAAATTTGATTTCTATGCTGCTAGGCAAATCCAGCGGATTAACACCTGTCGAGGTGGTAAAAATTCGATTTCTATGCTGCTTGGCAACCCCAGCGGCAGCAAAAGTACTTTTAATGTCGCTGGAGCGGCAGTAGAAGTACTTTTAGTGCCGCTCGTACTTTTACTGCCGCTCAACCATTCACTTGCCCCCGAGCTTACCCCATTCGTTTGGAGAAAAAATAGCGTGTTGCATACGGAGTAGAAGCACTTTTTTGTGCTTCAGCAGTATTGCAAGCCTCACTATGTTCGGCCCGCAAACCTACCGCTTCAGCACAAAAAAGTAAAGCTTCTACTCCTAATACAACAATCTATTACTGGCGCGGTTACTATGAAAACGCATGGAAAATATGGGAAACTTGCAGTGTTTTTCTGGAATATGATTATGAAAATCTAAATTAGGTATCACTATTTGGCTTTGTGAAATAAGCTTACTTTGAATGTCCATATTAAATCGTTCTAGTACCTATTAAACTATTGAATAATAATTGAGAAGTAGGTAGGGGCAGTAAAAAATAAAACACACTATTGCAACCACGTTTCGCTTATATTTTGATATCGATATGCAAAAATTAAACCGGCTCGCTCAAGTTGGCACCCCACATTTGGTTTTCTACTGTTTCTCAACTATAGTTTACTGTAGTCAATTGTGCCCGTTTTGTGCTCAATTGTGCCAGTATTTATGCGAATTGTGCTTATTTCTATACACAAAAAAAACATTGAAACAAATCCGGGGGCCAGCTTGACTCCAGCCCTTTGTTTTTTTGACTTTTTGGCAATATGTTTGGCTAGTTGATAAACAAAAGCAAACAAACTCGTCTTTCTAATTAGCCAACCACTCAAACCTCAAAGACACAAACTTTTGAAGTCTGCTAATTTTAAAATTAATAAATTAATTACAAAATACAGTTTTCAAAGCAAATAACCTCAAAATAACAATTTTTCACGTTTGAAAATGCAAGGAAAGTGCACTGTCATAATAAAACACAAACCGATCAAGGACTGTGTGACGTCATTCGCATACCGCCATCTTCGATGTTTTTATGAACGTTTGCCTTATGGGATTGAGCAATCCTGTAGAGTTTACGATTCTTGGGCATTACCTACCTTTCTTATTACAGCACTCCCAAAAAGATTGTCCTAGATCAAGGATCAGAGTTTAAAAATCGCTTGTTTCAAGAATTTTGTCAACTCTTTTATATAAATCTACACTACACGACTCCTGGTAATTCAACATC